TTTCTACTTCTTGAAGCTTTACTTCTTAACCACGCTTGTACTATTTTTTATCCTTTATTCTTGTTTATCGCCTCATTCTGTATTTCCATACCCGCGTTTTGTCTTCTTATTTTAATTTTTTCATTTTAATTTTTATTTATCGTTACTAGAACAAGATTTTGCTATAAACATGTTTATTATTATTATTATATAATTTTCTAAGAAAAATTAAAAACTGGAAGATATTAAAATCATAGCAAATTGTTAATAGTTATTTCTTTTTATTTATAACGGTTTAATATAAAAATTGTTAGCCTTAACTTATAACATAATTTATACAGACAACTTATTAATATATTCCTGATAAATATAAAAAGCGATATAAAGAATATATATCTGTTTTATTTGTTTCGTATTTGTACAAGCTGAATAAATATATATACATATAATCCTCTTTGCTCTTTGCCACATTTTAATTTTTGTAGTACGCTTCAGGAAACTACTCGCTGAACTGAATAAATTTCTCTCTCTTTCTCTCTACCTCTCTAACTCTCCGACCCTCGCACTTTCCTATATACATATAGTAGTACGCGTGTACCACCCCCCCGCGCGAAGTGCAGCCCCCGACTCGACTGCATATCTCCACGCCAGGAATTGGAGTGGATGGCGAACGTGGGTACAATAGTTCGCATTGTATTGGATCTAGCCGAGTGATAGGCCCCTCTCCCGGTTTCCTCCTGTTCACCCTCCTCCGCCACCCTCGCGCTTCACCTTCCTCAACCCCTTCGTACTCAACCCTCCTATCGTATCTCATTTTCTGAAGGCCCGGCACGAGCGTGTATTGTGCCGCTCGCTATGCCCAAATCTCGCTATCTATCGCTATTGCGGCCAACTGCGTCGCCTCTGCCGTTTTGTGCCCTTTCAGCTGCGCTTTGGTTTAAGTGCATCGCGGATTCTACCGATGCGCGAATGCATTCCTCGGGGGTGGACGATTCCTATCACGCTCCGTCGGTCGTCGGTACTTCGTAACAAATGCCTTCGACAATCGATAATGATATCGTGAAATTTTTCTTTGTTATAAATTCATTTAAAAGATATACATGTAATAAATCTAATACTTGACATTGCCATGCCTCCTGAATAAATTTTTTTACAAAATAAATTAACAGAAAAATAGAATACTATTATGGGCGTCTTAATAAATTATTTACTTTTATTAAGACGCCCATTTTACAATATTCTATTTTTCTGTTAATTTATTTTGTATCTATTTTTACTTAATAAATTATTTACTTAAAAAAAATTTTATTTTCTATTGCTTTTTATGAAAGAGGAGTATCCGTTATTTCGAAAACTTTACTATCAAGAGCCAAGATTTTCATCTAGTTATCGCTCAGATAATAATTTTCAATAGTGTCTCGTGCGTATAGTGAGATGCGCCTAAAAGTACAAGACGATCAAATACCGATGAAGAAGCACCTGAGAGGAATAATCGTTTGGACTGATTAACGTCGCGAACAACATGTCAAGCGTGCGCGGCACGAATTCAGGCCATTGTGAATATCTGAATATCCGCGAGGCACGCGAATTCCCATATCTGATTGCGCGCAGATAGACTCGGATCTCATTTCCTGAGTACATCCAAGTATTTCATATATGTGTATGTACACGCGCGCACTCGAGGCGAATGTTCCATCCGTGCGCTACGCATTGCGATGTGATATTTTGTTATATTACGACTGGTGCCTCGTAACGATCTCATTTTCAGTATAGACAATATATTTTATCGCAAGATAAAACTGACTTTATAATAAATTATCAAGTATAAGTAAGATATGTGAATTTGCAGTGGAGTTGCAATCGCCCTTCAAAATGAACTTTTAAAAGAGGCGACGTTGTACTCTACACAGTCCGCATTGCAGTTTCAGAGGTATGCTCTTCGCCGAGCGAAAATAACCGTGGCTTTTATTTTATAAAATCTGCGAATGCGCACAGTGAAAATTCGCCGCTTAAACGAAGCGGTAATCCGGCTAAGAGTAAGCCGCGAGTAACGCTTTTGAAAATTCGTTCCATCAACGGTAATTTATCGCCGGCCTCGACCCCTGGCCTCGAACCCCTCCTCGTCTAAATACGCAGAGATTTCAGTAGTCGAACCCACGTGTATGTCACGGTGATCCCAATAACGGCGTACGCGCAGATAATTTGCTGCATTAGTATCGTACACCGTGTACAGACTGGTTTCATATAATTAGGCACACGATTGGGTGCGGCAAATACGCGATTATGGATTATTCGTTCGGTGTGCAACGGTATGCAAATACGAATATCCCAAATTATGAAACGGGCTCGACGCTTTCTACCATATATCTTTCATGCGATTGCAGAGGTAATTACACATGAAGAAATTGTAATCTACTATTTAGGCTATATACCGATGAGGAAAATGATTTTAGTTATTTTTTCCTCAATTATAGTTAATCTTAAATATTTTAACATAAATAAGAGAAAGAATCCCCAGAATTCGGTCAAAAGCGGATTTTGGTGCTTAATAATATACATATATAAATTTTTTAATTAAATTTTTAAACATTTTTTTCAGTCCTGTAAACTGTGGACTGCGCTGGTTTGATTTGTCGGACTTGAAACGCAATCATAAACTGAAATAAAATAATAATTAAAATAAAAGCTCTAATAATCTAATAATAAATCAGCTCTAATAATATAAATCGAATATAAGTAAATTACCTAAATGAGCCTCTGCTGGTTGTTAATACGCGCTAATAATATATTTATAAGACGATAAGGTATAATTCGCAAACAATCGGAATGTATTTACCAACGGAGTTAACTGCAAACGTGGGTTTCAACTCTGGGTTTGATCCTTTTCAATGCGGAAGTCAAATACAAACTTATGTATTGTAAATATATTATTAATACACTAACAACTGCGGAGACTCACATAGGTAATATTTACATTTAAAGTATATAATAATATAAATTAAATTAATAGTCAATTTGATAATAATGCTAATAAGTATCATTTAATATGTAAACCGTAAATAAATAATTTATTGCAAAAAATTAAAATTAAATATTTTATTATTATCTACACCGATAATTTTTTAGCAGTAACTCACAATAATAAAATTCTAGAAGAATATTCATTTAAGCTTAAGAGAAGTCTTTATAAATCTATCTAGCCTGACTAAATCCTAAGTGGAGGCCGCTACCGACTCAACGACACAATGACAAACGAAATTTTGCAGAGTGAGTGAGTGAGTGAGTGAGAGAGAGAGAGAGAGAGAGAGCCCTGAAAAATGGAATTACTGCGAAACCGTGTCCTCGTCAGGAAGAGGATAGGGAATTAAACGGCCTTCGAACGCGGCCCAAATAATTGATGCACGTCAATTAGATTTGTCAGGCCAATCGTCGTAATTAAATCAACAGGAACGCGAGGCATGAACACGTACACATAACTGTCGACGGATGCATACGCGTATGCGTGCACATTCTACGCGCGTGTGCACATACGTATCTTCGCGTGCGACTATCTGGGGACCGTATACGAGAGAGTGTCCACGGCGTGAAATTTAAATTTCTCCGATACCGGACATCGATAATCCCGTTGATTCGTCGAAACCGCCGGCAATTCGTGCCGCACTTTTCCGATAATGGTTAACTATTCCGTTAAGCGACGCAGCCATTATCAATTATGATCAATTATCGTTCGCAGAATGTATTTAGAATAGACGACGAACAAAAGTTGAATAATTTTCCTTTTCCGAAATCAACCTGTTTCTGCTAAAAAAATTCTGTGAGGAAGGACTAGAATTTCAGTTATGTAATGCATGACATGCATTTAAATTTTAGCTGAATTCATCTGAAAAGTCTAACTAAAGCTCCTATTCTATAACTTTTAACGACAGGTTGGTATTTTTGTATTGTCATAGCTTGTTTATATGTATAAAACTTGCGCAATGTAATCGATACTGTCATTAATTACTTATTTCTTGTCTCTTTCCAATTCTAGAATTGGAAAGAGATGAGCGATACATTGAACCTCAGTTAAGAGTTAATCGTGAATTGTGAAATTGATGGGCTTAAGGTCCGGTTTTTCATTATTTGATTAACTTGTAGTTAGCCTTAACATGATGTTTTATGACGTTATGATAGATAAAGCCCATTGAATAAAACATCAAGTTAAGGCTAATTATAAGTTTAACCACAAGTTAAATTTAATCACAAGTTAACCAGGAAATGAAAAATTAGGCTTAAGAGTAGTTATAAAATAAAAGCCTTATTAACTTTTTTACTGAATAATAATTACTTAATATCGTATTATATCAAATTACTTGTTATAAAGTGAAATTGTCAATGGATAGAAAATGATAATGTAAGATTGTTACTGATTGCAATTTAACGAAAGATTTCAAAGTAAGGCAATTATTGTAATTTTCATTATTTATTTAAAGAGTTAATTTTGTCACAGATATTTTGTGAATTACTGTGTAGGTTTCATAAATGTAGTATTATATCTATTACATTTATAAGAGATTCATTGGAAAACACATGAGGATCGATAAGAAGTTCTGTATCGTCACAAAGGAAGAAAGTAGTTAGATATCGATGAAATATGAGAACATGCGCGTGTATGTGCTTGCACGTTTTTCGTCGACGTATGTAACGCAACAGGTTTCTTCGCTTATTTTCGTAGCATCGCAGGTTGGCGCAAGAGTGATATCATGTAATATAACTCGAAACACCCTCTTGCTGTACCTTTCTGTTATATTTTGAGGGTAGAACTGGTCCACCAAGCGCTCGTATTTAATCGGTCACGGTTGTTCAACGGTTTACTTATGAATTAATCAACGTGACAACAAGCTGCAATAAATTTACGTTTCTGCAACGTTTCTTCCGTAATGCTTAATTATTCTTCTTCGCAGTGAGACGTTCGTTAACACAAAGATATTCTTAATACATCCTATGGCACATTTTTTTGAACAATTGTTAATTTTTTCTTGATGTTAAAAATATTACAAATTATTATATGTTGTTGATTTAATTTTTTTGGTTTTCATCAAAGGAGATTTATACTTGTAACAAATTTATTGGCTTGCGATTTTTATTATTACAATTTAGAGATCATTGTTCGAAGTTCGCGACGTAGGATCTTGCCGGAAGGATTCTTCGGTATGGCATCGACAAATTGCACCCCGCCATGCAGCCATTTTTGCTCCGACAGTTTCTCTGCAAGATAAATTGAATTGCTTGGTTAATGTATATACAGGTCGTCGCTCGGCTCGCGTTTACTATTAAAATGCAATGTCAAGACGGGGCGGAATATTTCCACGCTCTCACTATGCCGTACATTTAAATTACAGAGACAGCAGAGATAACTAACAATTTTAATCACAGCATTTAATATTATTATAATACAACGTCGCTAATAACTAATAATGCCGTTAATAATGTAACACAATGTTAAATCCTGCCACTATATTGTGCGTTCATTCCTGGCACTGGGTTTTACTTACACATTTGAATGCGATAACGCATTCATACTAAATAAGTTTTACTATATTTTTGTGAACAATTCATTAAATTTATAATTTTTTATTAACAAACTGTATACCTCTAATATTTTTTCCGCTTTGATATGTTTTTTTGACTTATTTTTTTTAAGCTTGTTCAAAGTGTGGAGAAAATCTAAAATTAAAATGTCACTGTGATGAACAGTCAAACGAAGTACCTATTACTTATAAATGGAATAAAATAGTACGCACTTGCCCAAGACTTTCATAGTGAGAGAAATGAATAATGTCCTAAATGGATGACATTTTAATGATCCTGCGAGAGATGCCAAAAAGGATCAGACTGAGTGATAACTCACGTTTGATAAACTCCTGCACGTCTTGGGCGGTGATCGTGGCATCGGGTTGCTTCACTATGAAGGCCACTGGAACCTCTCCGTTACGTTCATCAGGTTTGGAGGTGACCGCGGCATCTTTTATCGCTTGATGCGACAGTAGGACGGTTTCTATCTCTGACGGCGCGACTTGGTAGCCTTTATACTTGATCAGCTCCTTGACACGATCGATCACATGCAACCTATTCTTGTTGTCAAAGTAGCCAATGTCACCGGTGTGAAGCCATCCATCCTGGTCGATGGTCTGTTTGGTCGCTTCAGGGTTGTTCCAGTAACCCAGCATCACCTGTTCCCCCATATAGCAAATCTCGCCCATCTGGCCGGCCTCCAACGTCTCTTGTGTTTCAAGATCGACCACTTTGCCAAGAAAACCAGGTACAAGTAATCCAGTTCCTGGATTCTCGAACGAATCGTCATTATCGTCGTCGTTACGTCCGCTCACACCGCTCACTATCGATAATTCCGTCATGCCATAGCCGTTTCGAATGTATTTTACGCCGAGGCGAGTTTTTACCGCGGTTACAACCTGCGAAGAAGAAGAAAAGATAAGAGAGAATTTTCTTTTAAAATTTACCCTGAAAATATGGTGATTGTGGTACAATACAATATTTTAAAGATTTTTACCATGTACTTCAGTAAAATTGATCAAACTTATTTTATACTTTATTGTAGTTTTATTAATGAATGAGAGAGATTTATATTAAAATTCTTCGAAATACACCACAATGTTGTCCCACGATTATCATATTTTCAGGGTAAATTCTAAGAAAAAATTCTCTCCGTGTGGGAAAATTTATCCGTGGAAGGATGCGCGCCTATATTAATATTTCCAAAGCGCCTTAAAGCTTCTATCAAAACTAAAGGTGGCTATGTTGAATATTAATTATATTTTTGATATTTAATAAAGCATAACACAGAGTTTAGAGCTTTTTTTAATGTACGTTATTAATGATTTGATAAACACAAAACCTTGTAACCAAACTTTTCTATTATTTTGTATTTAATCTTTATAAAAAGAGAGAGAGAATCATTTTTATAATTATTATTACAGAAATAGAATTTAGTAGGGTAAACTTCACTCAATATAAAAATTAATATACAAATATTTTATAATATTCTTCTTATTTTCAATGTCTGTATTACCACAATTGTATCTCAATTATGAGAGAAATAAAGGCATCTATAAGAAAACAGCATTCAGGAGACGTTTAAGTTCAGAGGCATGTTTGGTCTTCGAAACTTTGAGACCCTATCCTCTCCCTCCCTTTATCTCGTCCACCGATAAGAGATCAGTTTCGCATTTTCTGAAAGACGCGATTGCGAACTCGCGATGCAGCCTTTTATTTTCTTCTCCTTTTATTTCTCTTTAGCGACTTTGTGAACTGGTTAAACAAAAACGAACGCGATAAAGTTACTCCCCGAGCCGTGTCTAGTGAAAATGCGACGACTCTCTGGGACTTCCTCTCACAGTCTTTCGTCCGATCCTCCTGCAGCCGCGACATCAAGGACTCACTTCGGCACTTAGTCCCGCCGATGGCTGCTTTTCTTGCCTTGATAACTTGGTCGAGGAGGGGTTCGGTAGATAGAGGAACGACAAACTTCACGAGGACGGAAGAAAACTTACGTCCTTCCCGAGCGGCGCCGCTCCGCAGACGAGTTCTCTCACGCTGCGAAAATCATATCTATCCACCAGCGGATGTTTCGCCAGGAACGTCAAAATCGGCGGCACGACCGGTAGATGGGTGACCTTATGTTTCTGTACCAGAGTTAGGAAGAGTTTCGGCTCGAAGGCAGACATTATAATCATGGTGCACCTCGAGATAAGACCGATCATCATCGTGCCTATCCCGTAGCCATGATAAAACGGCAGCAGCATCAACATTTTGTCGCCACTTCTTGCGTCCAAGTATTCGGGCTCGCTGTATTTTAAAATCATATTCGAGTTATAGAATTAAATCCTTAACTACGTTTTCGAGTGAGAAAATAGCACTTTGTTTTTTTCGTACGATTGTACATGCACAGTTTGCAAATAAATTATAAAGTTAAATTTAGCATTAACATTTCAGTTAGAGATACTCTGGAAAAATTTTACTTTTAAATAATTAGTATGATATCATTATATTATATTTAGATCTCTCTTTAATCAAACACGTTTAACGTGTACGTTTTTAATTAAATTCATATTAATTTCACTGTTATTAAAAAATGTTGATCAATGATCAATAAAAGGATGTATATAAAACTTGCCGCATTTTTACTAAAAACGCAATTAAATTTTTATGAGACAGCGTTACTCCTTTTGGCAATCCTGTGGTTCCGCTTGAAGAAAGAATAGCCCATGGATGACGGCTGGTGTCATCGATATCTGTAGGTTTGTATTCCATGTAGTTTACATCTGGTTCGTTGTTTAAGATATCTGTCAACGTACGGACGTTTGCTGTGAGCGATTGATCATCCAGCTGTATTAATTCCATTTTCCAGGATAACTGTGGTAGGAGTTTAGCGAGGACACTTTCGGTGCGCTCAGACACGAAGACAATACGCGGCTTCGCAATGCTCAACATGTGCTGGAATTCATCTAAACGATAAAATTAATTAGCATTTAAATTTGGCAGCTGTTCTATCAATAATTACTCGTATAGTTAAATCGAATTAAATTACAAACAAGTCATTATATTTGTTGATATAAGATACAGATCATTTCAGATAACATCATTAGATACATATGTCATGACTACTTTTGCAGAGAAATGATGTGTATACAATATATGCATGAATATAAATATTGTATATTAAATGTATATAAATATTGTATATTTATACGTACAATATAAATATATATTATAATATATAAATATATATTGCATATATGTATAATTTATAGTATAATACTTTTTTACTCACATTCTCTATATGAAGGATTATACGGTGCTATTATAGCACCAAGATAAGAAATGGCGCAACCTGGTATTAACCAATTTAATCGGTTTTCAGTTGCAATGGCAATTCTGTCTCCAATTTTTATTCCGTATCTTTGCAAGAACTTTGCGAGCTTCACGCTTTTCTCGAGTAATTCTCTACATGTCATCTGATTGCCGGTTGGTCCGTCTATCTAAAAAAAAAACAATATCTCTTATATAATTATATATAAAGTCGATATAATCATGAGATAATTTAGACAGAATACAAAATATTTTTTTAATTTTACACGTTAAAGAGACTGAAGGATTAAATTGCTCAAAATTTTTGACAATTTTTTATGACAGATCGAATTGAATAAATGTATGAAAGAAGTTTTAAGCAATATTTATTCAATACGCATAAAGTGTGAAAAATATATTTTTTATTAACAAATACTACATGAACACAGGTCAGGAACTAGTTATTATAAAAGATACATAATGTGACGAGGAAAATTTAGAGATAAAATTCATGAATTTTGTCTCCCTAGTGACTAGCACCGATAGCATTATGAAAAAAACATTGTAAACACCATTATTACATCGCGTTACTATTTAGCAAGCGATGAGCCTGTAATTGGCAATCGCTACTATGCATTTTGTAATTATGATACATACTGCGTAAATATGATCGTTGTTCTCACGCAATTTGTTTAGAATGACTTCTCCCAAAGACACATTTGGCGTTGGCTGTTCCAAACGGCGCTCATATATTTTTCCCATTTTTACAGCAATGTTGAGTTTGCCTAACAAGTAGAATGTTTCTACCTAAAAAAATGTAATTCTTATATTTAAATTAATGATAAGTATAGGGCTACGAGTCAAACCAGGTCTCAATGCTAAAGAAATATCAGCGCAAAACTCGACGATACAAAATTATAAATTATAAATTTTGTATCGTCGAGTTTTGCGTTGGTATTTATTTTGTTTAACTTTTATACTTATAAACATTATTGCAAGTGAGAAACGTCCTCTCGCACGCTTTCAGAATACAGTTATAATCACATCGCGTTATATTATAACGGATTATGCTCTCTCTAAATCTGAATCAGTGGATAATCACTGATATCAGTTCCAAGTATGCCACTGGTGTGTAATCAGTGAATTAAATGTGAGATTCCTAACCTAGCTAATCTTTATTATACGATCTAACCTTATTTTGTGCTTAAGTTCAATGAATATGGTATTTCAGTATTTTAGTTATATAATGCTCAAACATTCTTCCTTTTTTAGTTGAACTTTATTGATTATCAGTGCCAAGTATGCCACTGGGTAATTAGTGACTGATTCAGATTTAGAGAGCCGATTACAAGTTTTACCTAACTGATACAATCAATTTTAATACATTGACTACGAATAATATTTCAAAAATTTCATAAATAATAATTTACAAAAATGAAAGTAAGTCGCAAGCTACAAAAATCTTCTCAACTCATACGCAAAATTTCACAATTATAATGTGTGATATAGTTATACAAATAAAATAGAAAATCATAAATCTAATAATAAAACAGTTATAAAAATAAACGAATAAAATTAAAAATTATATATATAAAAAATGTCTTGAGATAAAAAGTTTATACAAAGTTTAAAAATTAAATACAAGAACCAACGGTTAAAAATACAAATTCAACGATTAAAAATAACAAAATACAATAAATAAAAAGTACCTGTTAACTAGTAGTGAACAATTTAAGAGTACTATTTGACTATGCAAAAATTGAGATATCTTGAGAACCAGAACTCATCTCTTTAGAAAAGGCATATCTAATCTGATATCGTGTGACAATCAGAAGCAAGAGAACTACTCTCTTGCCTCTGATTGTCACACGTACGGTATCAGATTAGAAATGCCTTTTCTAAAGAGATGAGTTCTAGTTCTTAAGATATCTCAATATTTGCAAATGTTATAAAATCTAAAAAATTAAAAAATATTTTTTAAAAATTATGGGATGAGAAATTTCAGAATATTTCAGAATTCATTTGTATGAAAAATTCTGAAAGAAGATAAATTTTCCGAATATTTTTGAGTATTTCTGAAAAATATATAAAATTTGTATAAAAATTATGAGAAAAATTGTTACCAGGGACGTACAACTGTGTCGGCTCTCATTGGCTTTACATTCCTTTATGGATTTGATCTTTGGAGCCTTTTTCAATTTTAATGTTTAACAATAATAAGATTGGAAATAAGACCGTTTATGTTAGAAACATTACTTTAAATATACATGAAGCGCCACTACGGTCTGAATGTTAAGATGTTGAACTATTATACATATTAAATGAATTAATTTCAGAAATTATAATTACGTGTCGATATGGTTGTCAGACTTTCAACGCAATCAATCTGAGATATTAATTCCCCCAAATTTCCCAAATTTAATCTTAAAAAATTGTAACAAACTTATTGCGAAAAATATTGTCTGAGCCGGGAATCGAACACGGATCTCTTGCATTCCGCGCGAGCGTCCTAATTTTTAATTATTCGTTTTTATTACATAAATTTATTCGTTTGGAGTAGCGAGTTGAGCGCTTATCATCAGAGCGTGAAATCACGATCGGTAATACGTGAAGATGACCGCGAGATTGCGCAATCGCGCCATAATCGCGCCATAATCGCGCGCTTCTTCCAGGGATAATGACGTGTTGAACGCGCGTTCGGTTTTGTGGCTTGAATTTTCGGAAGATATTCACAAACTGGCGTCAACAGGTATCCAACGTTACATTATACGCATTTCTCATTATCTATAACTTCTTTCTAATGTAAAATCACAAGTCTTTCACGGCGATTCGATAGGATTGACAATTGACACAAATTATAGTTTCATGGAAAATCGCTTTTTTGCGTCGCCATTATCACGGTTTCGTTTTGCATGTCTTCTCAGAATCCCGGATATTGAAACGAGATGAAAGCGGTTCGGATACGAGAACTGGAAACTATCTCGCAGAGATGAGAAAACGGAAGGACCAGGAGCGAGATAATCGGGACAGTGATTGCCGCTGCGGTGAGTTACGAAGTAATATACGTATTCGGTATTCATGATGTTTATGCGACGCTGTTGTAAGCTAAGCAAATGGCATTGAGATCGCGTCATCACACAACTTTACAATTGGGCGCATTATGGGTATGCGACACTTTAAACTTTCCTGGCAAAACCGAGAACAATGGAATATCTCGGAATTTATAGTAAATACAATTATAAAAGTTTATATGGAAGAACATGTACGAATGTGTGTCTCTCATTTCCATATCACTACAGCTTCTAATTTTATCTTCTCACAAACGAACATTTATCAAATTATATATCTCTATATAATTTTATATACGTTTCCTAAAATCATAAAGGATTTTTGGAAAGTTTAAACTGAAGTATATATATTTTTTAAAATATTAAATTATTAAATTTGCTTTTTGTAAGCTGTTATATTCTTTTCAGCATATATCCAAACAGAAGAACAAGTCACGATAACGTCAAACTGACATTAAAATGAATCGGAAATGATTGAAAAATGACTTAATGATCATTTTAGAGTCATTTTGACATCATTTTGGTATCATAATGACTTGTTGTTCTGCTTGTATATTTACTAATAATTCTCTTTTATATACAATAACATTGCTTTGACAAATTATAATAACCAACAATGAATAATTAATTGGAATGTGATTTGATATAATTTTTGACAATTAATCAAAGTATGATATGTGCATTCAAGTAATATTAGATATTATGCAATCAAGTGAGGGATACCTTAAAAAAAGTCTGGCGATTGTTCTGTTTTCATTAGAATGTATGGCATGGTGTTCCTCTGGCATTCAGCTGGATGTCCTTGGATATACGGGATGATATCGGGCAGAGGGATAGATGGGAATGCATTCTCTCGGGGTTTATACGGGAAGGGGATGGGAGGCGTGCCATGAGTTCCATACTGTGGCCATAATCGTGAGGAAAAAGTACGGAAAATTCTTAAATACCAACGTTCAAGTTTCTTTATTTTCTTTACGACGTCTCAAGATACAATATCTACTATTTTTGTGTTTCGGTAAGCTTATACCGTCTAATAACATTCCGCGCATGACATATCAAGATGGGGTAGCAATTGAATAAAACTGAGCTTTCATCAACACATGCAATCTATGTATATATAGAAAATTTTATAAATAAGATTATAAACTTCTGCAAAATTAAAATTAGCTCCGTGAAAGCGTATTAAGCCTATGTAATTTATAAGATTTTTTTTATTTTGTATACGATTTTATAAATGAAAAAATTATGACTTTAGTCCAGTTCGTACATACAAAATTATTTTGTATGTATAGGTATATCATTTATAACACAAACAAATAAGAATGTGAATTGTAAATTGCTATTTACGTTAATCGGCAGAGTTCATATAATCGAATTTAGAATATTATGATTAACATATATTTTAATTGCTCTTGCGGATTTTTTACTTTCTCAATCCCATTTTTTGTTATATTGTGTCAAAATTTTTAAAATATAATATTGAAAAGTACTCAATTAAAGCATTTAGCAAAACTTAGTTTTTTGCTAAATGCTTTAACTTGTGAGTATTAAAATAACAACAGTAGTTGATTCAATTGAAATTCAGTTGAAATTACAGCAACTACTGTTGTTATTTTAAAAAGAAGATTTACATTGATGATTTAACAATTTTAGAGACATTAAAAAATAATATATGTAAAAAATTGCTGTGATACCAATTTAAATTTTTATCTCGCTGCAGTAATCAAAAATATAGCTGATTGTAACCAAATTTACAAACATCAGGGACACGGTAGTGTTTGGCGTATCACAGACAGTTATTTATTATATAAAATTAATATTCCGAACTTGTGACTAAGTAAGATTAAAATTAAATTAAGCAAAATCAAAATTAAAATAAAAATAAATAGAAGATTAAAATAAATAGGAGCAACTTATAAATTTTATTTTTATAGATCAATTCAGAATTAATAATAAAAATTAAATTAAATAGAATCCAAATTAAAATAAATACGAGCAATTTATAAATTGTATTTTTAACAATGTGTGAAAAAATAACGACAAAATTATATTTTTATACATTGATGCTGAATTAATAAGCAATAAAAAAAACAATTCATTATGCAATACTTTGTAAAACATTGTAACTAAAACACTAAATTTTGCTAAACACTTTACCTGAGTACTTTTCAGTATCATATTTAAAAAATTTTTTTAAGAATTAAGAGAACCTTTAGCAAAAATTTGCTCTTCACTGTTAAATCTATAGTGTCAAATTTAATCTAACGTGAGTCGCTACTGCTTCTACTAAATATATCGTTATTTTTTATCAAAACGATAGTTAAATTTGACACTATGTCGTGTCAATTTGACACTGTAGTGTCAAATATAACCATTGTTTTAATTATATAAAATAATTATATAATTATAATTATATTTTATAATTATATAAAATAACATAAAATATGATTGAGTAGGAGCATGAATTTGACACTAGATTTAACGGTGTTCGAGATACATATATATAGCTCTAATAACACTAATTCGCAATTTTCACTGAACAGTAATTGTTGACTTTGTCGAGAGATCTTTGACATTGTGTTACGCATTAGAAAAATAAATAAATAAACGGATAAAATGAACAAAAGCGGAAAAATAGCGCGCACATCGGTATGGTTAGATTGCGGACGAACCGACTTCCGGCGTTCTCCGCGGCATATGCACCGTATCCGCGAGAATGCATGCGACGGTGTGCATCCG